GAGCTGTACCACGGGGAGCTGGTAGACATGGAAGTCATGGCCTCAGATACCCTCAAAGCCGCTGATGTAACCAAGGTGAGATGGTCCGGGGCACCTTGGGGTCTTCTCCCACTCTCCAGAGCCCCCAGACAGCACCATGCACCCAGGCTAGTGAGTCTTCCTGCAATAAAGAGCAAAAGAGACTGAGCTGGGCTTGCCCACAGCACCCAGATGCCTCCATAGCTCCTCCCGCATCTTGCTCTTGGGCCAGGCTGCCCTGGGGCTGGGCACAGCCTGCCCAAAGCACCAGCCATGGTGAAGGCAGCCTGCTCCATCCTCCAGCCCTCCTTGCTCAGTTTCTTTCCCAGCCTGTTTCCATGGAGGGGGCGTCATTTTTGACGCTGGCCATCCCAGAAGCTCAGCTGGCTCACAAAGGTCCATTCCAGATTTGGCAGCCACTTCTCCCTTCTTTGATATGCTCCAGGAGGACATGGCCAAGATGGAAACCCGGTTCCTTGCGGAGAGAGAGCTCAGGCACCGCTCCCTGGCCGCCCAGAAGGTGCACACCGACAGGCTCTGGCTCAAGGAAGCAAGCGAAAGGCACCTGAGAGCGGTGAGCTGGGGGGACCCGGCACAGGCAGGGCTGCGGGCAGAGGGCAAGCACCAGTGCAGAGCCCACCATGGGTCGGAGGGGCTGCAGAGCCAGCTCCCCCAGGGTGCCAGCAGCTCGGGGGGTGACGATGAATGTCCTCGCAGCAAGCCAGGTACGATCTCGCTGTGGACTTCCCGACCCTGCAGCCGCAGGACCCGCTGGTGGGTGAGTGCCTGGTGGGGTGCAGGGGGGTGGGACGCGGGCACAGCCGCAGGCATCCTTCCCTGCCACTTCCCTCCCACCCCAGACAGCAAACTGGAGGCCACCAAGTCCCAGATGGAGCATGTGGCCCAGGTGACTGAGAAGATGGAGAAGGCCAAGGCTGCAGTGCAGTGCTCCCGCCTCTGGGTAACGTAAAAACCCATTTCTGGTAAAACCCGGGGCTGCTTGAGCCCCTGGGAGCTGAGACCTCTCTGCTCACCTTGTTTCATTGCGGGGTTATCTGCTCTCCTCTGCCCCTGGATTCCCCCAAAGCCCCTCTTGTGTGGGCAGGGATGGAGCTGCTTTTCTCCATGACACGAGTTTGCAGCAGTCCATGGTGCAGAAACCTCCCCAAGGCCACGGCCCAGATCCTGTACCCTGCAGGAGCGCCACGGACTGAGTCCTCGTGCTCTCCCCCGGCCAGGACATCCCCAGCAGGCTTCTGGCACAGCAGAAGTCCTCAGTGGACCTGGAGCAGTACATCAAGGAGTGCGAGGAGAAGAAGCAGGCGCTGAAAGAGACGCTGAAGGAGCTGGAGCTGAAACGGGCTGAGCTGAAGTTTCACCAGCCCCCCAACACAACCAGGTGCTGCTGGCCTCGGGACAGTTGTGCCAACTGGGCCACCAGCCTTGGGGGGGACACATGTGCATCGTGGGTGTCCCAACAGGGCACCCCTTCCTCCGTCACACTGCAGCCGCCCATCCCTCCTGCACCGGGCGGTTGTCTGAGCAGGGTGTTCCCCCAGCTCTGGTCCTGGTAGAGCACCCAAAGCTTCCGCAGTGGCAGCAGGAGGACCCTTGCTCCTTGCCTGGCATGGGAAGTGACACCAGCAGCATGGAGTTGGGCTGCAGGCAGCACCTCTGCTCTGCAGTTGAGGGGGGGAGGCAACCTGAGCAGCTTTTGCAACAGATTTGGGGTGTCTCTGCACCCCTATGCAGTTGTATGGATGTGAATGTGGTTGGCTCCAGCATGCTGGAGGAGGAGCTGAGGATGAAGCTGCAGTGGGAAAAGGCTCGGCTGGAGCAGATGCAAGCCCATACACTGAGGAATGAGGAGCTCCTGCTCCAGTTTGAAAACGGCATCGACAACCTTGTCTTCCGCCTGCATGGCATCACCGTGCCCGGCCAGGTACCTGTGTGGCGCTGGGGTGAGCACGGCCCCGGACGGTGCTTGGTGGTGCAACAGAACAGCGCGGTGACACTTGGTGCAGCCACCGTCACCCCAAGTGGCTCATTTTCCCCACCAAGGTTGTTCTCTCTCTGAGTCCAGGACAATTCTGTCAAGGCCATGGGGGTGGAGGAGAAGCTCCAGCACTGCGGGCAGAAGCTGCGGTACCTGATGCAGCGGGTGGCCAACCTGTCCCCCGACAGTCACAGCCTTGACGAGGACAACGAGGTGCACAGGGGCTCCATCCCTGCTGTGGTCTTCGGGGACCCACACGGGGCTCTCCCAGATGGCCCATCCCAAGCGGTCCTCCCAGCTGGGAGGATGGAGGTGGCCCCAGGGAAGAGCCATGGAGCAGCTCAGCCCAAGCGGCACTGAGCACTGTGCGGTGTCCCCGCCAGGGGGACATTGAGGTGGGGCACCCCTTGGGTTGTAACACCCACCTCTCCTTCAGCAATAAACCCAGGGTCTCTTCCACAGACTTTTGTGAAGGTCAGAAATTTTCTGGAGAAAACAATTGCAAATGATCCACGGAACCTGAAGGTTTCCTTCGAGGACACAGGCAGCAGTGTCCAAGGTAGGAGAGCACGGTGGGGACACATCCCACAGCGATTGTCCCAGCCCCTGCCCACTGGGATTTCTGGGCGTCCTTGCCTGTCTCCCACTGTCCCAGCAGACCCCAACCCATGAGTTGCCTCCAGACCTTGGGGCTGACCTTGGCTGTCTCCAAGGCTTTGAGCATGGGTGGTGGTTTTAGGTGGGCATGTGAGAGAACGAAGTCAGCCGGTGGGGTGGTGAGCATCAGACCACAGCAGGAACAAGGAGAGATGCTGTGGGGCAAGGAGGGAGACCCTCATCTTCAAAATCACCTGATTGGGAAGAATAACCAGTGCCTGGCTCTGCCTGTGGCCTCCTCCTGTTGGATGCTCTTGGAGGAGACAATGAGCTTTTGGCAGCTTACCACCTTTTTTTAGCAAAGCAGGAGCTGTACTCACCACCCCATAGCTCCAGACCCTCATGGGAAGCCCGAGCAGTGTTGGAGATGGGCTACGGCAGTGGCATCACCAGGTCCTGCAGGTCACCCTGGGATGCTGGAGTGGAAAAGCCAGTCGGCAGCGCCTGTGCCCAAGGGCTCGGCATGAGGGCTCTCCGGGGTGCCACCAAAACATGCCGGCTCTCCCTGGGGACATGGGCACAGTGGAGGTGGCCCCACAGACCCTCCCCAGCCCGCTCCTCTCCACTCTCTCCTCCAGACCCCTTTGATTTTGCTGACAAAGACCATGGCCATGTCCCCACCCGGGAAGACATCAAGAAGCAGGGGCTGCAACTGATTGAAAGCAAGAAGAAAAGTGGCAAGAAGAAGTAGCAGTTGCTCCACGAGAGCTTTGGATGCCCCAGACTGCCTGTTGTACCCAATTTCCAGCAGCTTTAGTAGAGCAGATCTTTTGCATTCCACTAAAGCCTGTGGTAAAGCTGGAACGGGGGGTCCTAAGTCACTTCTGTCACCCGGAAGGCATGGGGGTCAAACCCTGAGGGGTGCTGAGCTGGGTTTGGAGGCAGCCCCATCCCCCTGCCCCTCACCCAGCTGCTCTCCCCGCAGAGGTGGGGATCAGCTGGGATGGGGACAGCTTTCCCAGCCAGAGCAAAGCTGGGGGCAGGCTGACTTTCTCCCCCTTGGTCCTGTGGGGCCAACACCTTCCTGGGACCTCTGTCCCCCCAGACAGCTCGGGGACCCCAATGGGCTGGCATCTGTCTGAGGCAGCTATGGGGAAATATGGGGCAGGGGCTGAGACCTGGATGGGTATTGGACCTCAGGGGGGGTGTCTCTGTGTCCATGTGTGGGAGCGGAAGGGCAGACCCTGCCTTGGAAAGGGAGAGCCAAATCTGAGGTGAAGCCCCTAGCCTGGGGCTGTCCGACCCGTCCATGGACGCTTCGTGCCTCTTCCCTCCCCTGGTCCCTGCACACACGTTGTGCAACTCGTACTCATAACCCCAAACTCAGAGCAAATGTCAGGCATTACCTTTGGGCTGCGGGGAGGTCCTGGAGGTAAGGTCCAACTCAGCGTGACCTAGGACAGCAGAGGGTGCTACACCAAGCCTTTGGCTCCAGGATGGGATTCCCCGGCCCTGCTGATGTGTCACAGACACCCAACCGTCCAGGCCACGGTGTCTTCTCTACAAAGGCGCTCGTAGAACAGTGCTGCAAATAGATGGTGCTGTTTCCCCAAGCACACCCAACGCTGAGGGCTTCTGCCAGGGACCTGTAGTCCTAGCTGGAGACCCAGGAGGGTGGCACCTCATCCACTTCTGCAGGGGGACATCAGCATCAGACCAAGCTTTCACTGTCATTTCTGCTCTGTCCCTGTACTTCAAGCTGACATCACTTGTGACAGCATCGCTGAGGGAAGGAATGGCTGTTTCTGCCAAGCCTCTCAGCAGACTGGCAGGTCACACCAAATGTTCTTGGTGGGTTTTGTGTGACTACAGGTATGGGGATTATATTGCCAAAATGCAGGACAACTTGTGTTTTTCAAAGGAAGCTCCAGAAATAGCGTAACGTGCCAGTGAACACATCTAATGGAGCTTCCCAGAATCGATAGCCATATAGGCGGGCTCTTCTGCAATTAAAGACTACACTATAATTACACCCATCCCTCTCCTGTCCCATTCTCACGTGCCCACCACAGCCAGGGTGTGGGCTGGGGTCTGGGAGTCCTCTGCTGCGAGGAGCCAACTGGTTGTGGCAGCAGAAATCTGAAAATACTCTACTAACCGGGGGGCTAAGCATGGGTGGATGGTGCTGGGCCACTCCGAAACTGTCCACACTCAACACACCCAGGGTTTGAAGAAACATAGCCAGGCCCCGTTGGGTAGGCTGTGCTCAAACAGGTGTCATTAAGAAGCAAAATACCTGCAGACACAACGGCACCCTTCCTGCTGGCTTGACATCTCTGTTTTGGTGCAGAGGGCCACCAGGCTGATGTTGAGATTGGCGCACCCCAGGCTCTTGGTGCCTGCCCCAGCACCCTGGGGCAACACAGCTGGCAGCATTCACCAGAAATCATGGAAAATCTGCCCATCCACGGGCTTTTGTACAAACCATCCATCCCTCCTCTCTCTCAAGGCTGCTGCCAAAACAGTTTTAACTACAACGAGGCTGTAGGAGCCAGCATGCGCTCTGGTGTTTGCCTTCACAAGGTCTGGTGCAGCAGAACTATGGAGCACCACATTTTGTCTCAATTGGCTTAGAAGCAGCAGCTCCAGGACGTCTATTAGATGACAGTCACCACGCCACTGAATAAATATGAATGGTTTGAATCCAGTTGATAAAACAGAGAGAGACCCTAGCTTTACACACCTCGCTATGTGAGGGGTGGTTTCCTCTTGTGATGTCCTCAGGACCTTCTGAACAGCGTCCCTTCCTCTCTTGGTGATGCAGAAATGAGCGTACAGCCCAAAGGTGCTGCAAGGGGAAGCAAAGGTTTTCATCTCTCCTCTTACCAAGAACACCAGCTTGAGCAGAGATGAGCCCACAAACATCTGCCAAAGTCTCAGGTAGCCGAGAAACCCAACTCACAGCAGTGACGTTACCAAATCCAAGATCCAACAGCTGTCGGTCAACAATCACGAATGTCCTGGTTCCAGGTATTCTGATAGCCTGAAGGCCTAGGAGAAGAGAAGGAGCAAATAATAAGCCTTTTGTGGCTGGTAGAAATGAAGGATGACTTTTTAGAGCATGCTGGTGGTGCTTTGTCCCTTGTGCCCTGCCCTGCTGTACAGAGGAGCAAGAAGAGACGATGGAAAGCTTTGGGGAAGACCTCCATATGCTGAGGTGTTTCCTCTCCTTCCCCTTCAGCCTCCAAAAGGTATTTGGTGAAGAGCAGAGCCAACATCCCTCAGCTGGACCATCATTTGGGAGAAACCCTGAAAAATGTTTCAAGCCCTTGGTCTGGTCTTTCCACTCCAGCTGTGGGGAACAGAGAAGCCACAAAACGTGCTGAAGACCTCTCTGCTAGAGCTGGATGGACAATCTGGTCTGTGGCCCCTTTGCCAGCTGCAAGGTAGTTCTGGGATGTTTTAGCCGCCTTTAAAGGAGGGGAAGAGCACTGGCATGCAACAGCATAGGGGTTTCAGGTCTACTGAAATCATCAAGTCATGAGCGGAGGATACAAAGGCTACCTGCTTCATCATGAGCATTTGCTGAATGCGGTCAGACACAGCATCCCAAATCCTCACCACATCTGCAAGGCGAGGGGAAGGCATGTCATCCCACCAGCCAGCAGCTCACAGCCACGCATCGTGCTCCCGACCGGGCAGACGGTGCTGGGTGCAATCAGACTGACTGCTGCTGCCTCGCCCGGAGCCGGGAGAGGCGGCGGTGGAAATGGATGTGACAAGTGGCGAAGAGGTATAAGAGAGGATGGGAAGAAACCAGGGTCAGTGCCTTGGTTTCTGGATTAAATAAAACAACCCAACCATGGGTGCCCCAGGAAGGCAGCAGCTGGGTCAGGAGCAGCACCCAGGCACCCTCCTGCCACAGTGACCTCTGAGCCATGCGGGACTGCCCTGCCTGGGGCAACCTGCCGGCAACGGGCCGGGGAGCTGCGTGGGGCATGGTAGGGCACTGCCCCAGCCCACAGAGACTGCGGGGCAGGAGAGCCACGCACGGGGGGGTCCCCAAGCTGGGGTCACCCCATGCACACACCCCCAAACGCTGGAAAAAGAGGTGGGGCTGCAGGGGGCTCTCCAATATGGGAAAATATAAGGAATAATGTAAGGAATAAATGAATAAATACGGGGAAGGGAAGGAAGGGCTGATGCCAGTTGGGGTCTCATTAGGTGGCAGGCGTGGGGTGGCACAGCCCAGGGAAGGAGGGGAGAGATTTCCTTTTCTGCCCTGAGAAACCCTGATTTCTTTCCACCGCAATTACTGCCAAAGACTCGACGGGAGCTCCAGCGCGGGTGCCTGCAGCCAGTGCTGGCGAGAAACCTAAAATAGGACATCGGAGAATTCACATCGGAGCATTTGCTGCACGGAAATATCTCTGCCTTGGGAAGGCTGGGTTTGAGTGGGTTTGGTTTTTTTTTTATTTTTAAAGATGTGATCAAAATCGCATGGAATGAAGTGCAATGAAGGGTAGGAACAGGCTCAGACTGTCACCAGAGCCTCAGCACTGGAGTTTATTCTCCGGGGAGAAGAGGAACCAGGCTAAATCAGCCAGTTTGGGGCCAAAACCAGAGGCTCTGTTGGCTGTTCTAGGAGAGGAGATGCAGGCAGGGCCACCAACACGGGGGTCTGTCTTGGGAACTGCAAGGGTAGGATGTGGGGCTGGGAGCTCCCCACGAGGCAGCTTTTCTCCATTGCAGAGGTGTCCCAGCCCTTGGACCATTTTGGTGGCCTCCTCTGGAGCCGCTGTAGCGGGGGCCTGTCTGTGTTGTGCTGGGGAGCCCAGAGCTGGAGGCGGTGCTGCAGGGGGGTGTCAGGAGAGCGGAGCAGCGGGGGAGCCTCCCCTGCCCCGACGGGCTGCTCTCCATCCATCCATCCATCCATCCATCCATCCCTCCCCCAGTCTGTACTGTTACTGGGGATTGCCCTGACCCAGGTGCAGGACCTTGCACTTGACCTGGTTGAACTTCATGAGGTTCTCATGGACCCGCTCCTCCAGCCTGCCCAGGCCCCTCTGAGTGCCACCCCTTCCCTCCAGTGTATCAACAGCACCACTCAGCCTGGTGGAAAACCAAAACTGGTGTGTCTTGGGTGATGCAGAGACCAGAGGAACGCAGAGTCTGGCCTTCGCTCTCTGCCAAGGACAACTGGGGAACCCCTTTGAAATGCTTCAGCTGCTTTAGCAGAGAAAAATAATACAACCATAGGCTCAACAGGCTTTTGCCATCCACACGGGGATACGTGACAGCGCGGGGATGGTGCAGCTCTCTCTCAGGAGCTCCCTGGCTCTGACACCAGTGTCTGTTTGGGAGAAATATTGATGGGAAGGATTCTGTGCTCTGTGATTCGGGTCGTCTAAAGAACACAAGCAAAGAGGAGAGCGACTGCCGAAACCTCCGTGCTGACCTGACCGGCTCAATCTTACCTTGGGAAGGAGCAGCTGGCGCTCGTCCCAGCCCAGCCATGCCGCAGGTCACCAGAAGCAGCCGAGGGAGCAGCCGAAAGCAGAGCCCCTGTCCAGGCTCCTTTTCCTGTGAGACCATGCAGCAGGGTCCCATCCATGGGGGACACGGGGGGCAAAGCCTGCCCGAGCCCTTGCTGCCCTCACAGGCAGCTCTGCTGCACAGGGAGCGGAGGAAGGAGCAGAGGGGTCTGGATGGCCCCGGAGGGGCTTGAGGCAGACCAGAACAGGGGAAAACCTAGGAGGCAGCAAGCAGAGGGGTCTGGAGAGGATCCAGACATATATGGGGAGGGGGAAGGGGATCGGAGGGTGCAGGGGTGTGAGTGAGCATGGAGGGGACTGGAGCTGAGCTGGAGGTGCTCAAACATGGGGAGAACCAGGTGGGAGCAAAGCCCTGCAGAGGGGAACAGAGCTGGCTGGGGTAGGGGGGCAAAGAGGAATGGGGGGACCCCGGCAGGGATATTAAGGGCAGGGGGGTGAGTGCCAGCGGAGGGGAGCAGAGGAGCTGATGATATTTAGAATCAAAGGGACCGGAGGGAGGACTTGCAGGGGAAGAGGGATGAGGAGAACCAACAGTGCACAGAGCAGGGGCACAGGGGACTGGGGGTGCCTCCGGGGTGGGGGGGAAGGCTGGTTTTCCAGTCATTCCCCCCCCATCCACAGGCTTCCTACCTGTGGGGTGAACAGCAGGGAGCGCAAGGTGCTCTGCCCAGCAAACAAGCTGGGGGCTGTGGGTGGCCCCAGCACCCGCCATCCCGGGGCAGTGAGCAGGGCCATGGCAGAGCAGGTCCCACTGCACATCCAACAACCATCAGATGGAAGTAAAACAACACCTAGGGGGAAGCCAGGAAACCCCACGAGCAAGTGAGTGGGCACAGAGGACAGGGCTGGGCCAAGCATACCCACAGCACGGGGGCTGCTGAGCTTAAATGGGGTGTGGAGGGTGTGGGTGGGGGCCAGGTGAGGATGCTCAGGGTGATGAAGGCATCGGGGCAGGGATGCCCATGGGAGGGGGGCTCTGAAGGGGGCACTGGAAGGCAGGTAGAGACACAGCTCATCCATCCCAGTGCTGCTCTGCCCACCCCTCCTACCCCTTCACCCCGCCAGCTCCTGGTGAAGCCAAACTGGGGTAACTGGGCATCGGTACTTGCAGGGGAGGCCCAGCCATGCCGGCTGCCCGCGGTGTCTCCCAGCAGGGCTCACCCCACCACGGGGGGCGCGAGGCTGCCCAGGGGCAGCACGCGGAGGGCAATTCCATCCCCTGGCTCAGGCTCCCCGCTCTGCCCCCCCAGTTCCCATCACGGCGCCGACACCAGCAGCGCTGGTGACCATGGGACCCCAAGGCAGTGCATGAGAGGGGGGCGAGCCAGCAGCAGGCAGGGGGACCTCATCCTTCTGTCCCCCCTCATCGCCAGAGCTGGGTCCCACGGGGCTCTCCCACCCCACCCCAAGCTGGGTGCAGCACAAACCCCCCAACATCCATTTTTTGAGCCTTTACCAGGGAAACAGAAGTCAGGAGCAAGAGGCCAGGGGGTCAGTCACCATCAGCCCCTGTCCTCACCCACCCAGGGACGCGGGGTGCCCACCGCCCGCGCGGAAGCGACTCAGGGTTGCAGACAAGCCGGGTCAGCCGTATTTATTGAGAACATTTGTGGAGGGATAAAAATATTTCCACTAGCTCTATTAGAATTTATAAACCTATACTCTGCTTATCCTTTAATAAATGCCTCTATGACCATCATGCAAAGGTAAGTACTTCTGTAAGAAAATAGCAAGATTAAAAAAAGGAAAGCGCTAATACACCCTGCGGGGCCCTGCCCGTGGGGTCCCTGCCCGCGGGGGCCAAGGGACCCTCTGGCTGGCACGGGGACACGGGTGGCATGCTCCGGACGCTGCCCCAGCACCCTGCAGCACCCACCCTGAGCCTCAGCCGGACACAGCCCCCATCAGCTGAGCTGCCTGGGTGCCAACCCCTCACCCAGGGGTGAATCCACCCGGGGGACCCTGGTTTGGGTGGCCCTGCCGGGGAGGGGACGCATCCCTGTGCCAGCGAGCTCCCAGTGATCCCACTGCTCCCAGTTCTGCCTCCGCCCTGCAGCCTTGCCATCCCCTTTCGTCTTTCACCGTGCCCAGGTGGGAGTAGGGAGCTGGGGGGGTCGGGTCCATCTCCCCAGGGATGCCCTGCAGCCGCTGGCCGGGAGGTGCAGGCCAGGGCTTGCCCTGGGGACACGCAGCAGTGCTTTTCTGGAAAGCAATGCAGATGGGGACATCCTGGGGGCACACAGGGACACAACACAGTGCTCTGCAGAGCAGCAACGTGGATGGGGACATCCTGGGGGGACACAGGGACGTGACATAGCACTCTGCAGGAAAGCAACACAGATGGGGACAGCCTGGGGGGGGGACACGCTGCAGTGCTCTGCCGGGCAGCAACACCCACGGGAACATGGGGATACGCAGCAGTGCTTTGATGGGAAGCAACATGGATGGGGACATCCTTGCGGGGGACACAGGGACACACAGTGATGCTCTGCCAGGAAGCAGCAGGGACAGGGACGTCCTGGGGACACAGAGGGACACCACAGACAAGCAAGTGGCACCAGGGGCCGAAACGCCAGCGAGGGATGATGCTGTTGCCGCGGGTCAGGGAGCACCGCGGGTGCAGGACAGTCGTTATTGCTTTACAGGGCCAACATCGGGGGCAGGCCCAGGCTGGGGACCCGGCCCCCGACTTGGGGTTCAAGGGACTTTGGGGACTGAGATTCCCCCGTTCTCCCTGTGCCATGGCTGTCCCCTCCACCCGGGGACATGGAGTGCTCCCAAGGGGTGACGCTCAGCCGAGGACACATGGCCAGACACCACCAAGCTTCAGTCCCTCCTCACGCCAGTGCTGGCATGGCAGCACCAAGTGTCTGAGTGCCGGCTGCCACCCTGGCCAGGATGGTGGCTGCCCCTCCATCCCCTTAGTCACCTGTGGTCCCCAGGAGCTACTGGCCCTCTGTGCCAGCCAAGGCCGGGGGGAGCAGCCCTGTCCCCCACAGCAGGGCAGCCGGGGGTTTGGGGGGGCTGGGACCGCCCCCCCCCCCTTTCCTCTTCCCTTAAGCCAGGGCCAAGCTGAGCATAAAGGCTGTAAGTAGGCAGCCTGAGGTGACATGGGGACAAGGGACACGACGTGGGGAGCGGGCTGGCCGGCGGCCCTCCCCAGAGCTGTGGGGGAAAGAGGGAAAGCCAAAGCTCGGGGGACAAAGCTGTCCCCAGCCTGGGGGGTGGCCGGGGCAGCAATGGGGCTGGGACAGAAGCCCCCCAGGCTGGGTGCCCTGTCCCCTCGCTGTCCCCATGGGATGGGCGCCGGCCGGTCGGCTAAGGCGATACCGCAGCAACTTAAGGTGGCGGGTGCGGCGTTGGTACTGAGTCTCACAGCAGGGCTGGGGCAGGATGGAGCATGATGTAAACATTTATGATCTGTGGGGGGTAAGGAGGAGGAGGAGGGGGCTAGTGCGAGTCCTTCATCTGCTTCTGGATCTTCTGGAGCATCTCCTGCATCCGTCGCAGCTGGAAGGGACCAGAGCAAGGATCATGGTGGGGCGCTGGCACCCCCCAGCGACACCAGCTCCCTTGCAAACATATTTGGGTCAAGCATCCCAGACAGATTGGGATCACCAAGAGCTGTGGGCTGGAGCGGGGGAAGACAACCCTCTGATGGCCCTCCAACACCTCCTCACGCAGCTGCTGGGATGCTGCAGGAAGGGTGGCCCCTCGCGGCTGTGCCATGGCTGGGGCTGGGGACACACACTCACCTCCTCGTCCTTCTCCCGGATGAGCTTCTCCGTCTCCGCATCCGGCACCGGGGGGATGACGGGGATGGGGAAATCTGTCCCGCTTTCCCGTGTCAGCTTGCTGCAGACAGAGAGAGGAGGTGAGGATGCTGCCACAGCCCCGCCGGCCCCCCACGGGGGACGTTCCCCCATGGGTGCTGCAGCCTCAGAGACCCCAAACCTTGCAGGTACCCAGCACCCACCTGCACAGACCCTGAGCCCCCCTGGCCAGCACCACACTCGGCCTTTTTCCAGGCAGGGGAGGATAGGAGCAGCTCCAGGTATCCCCCCAAACCTCAGCACCCCCCAACCTGCCATGCACCAGTTTGGGGGGGACCCAGGGAGGCACCACCACAGCAAGGGGTGCCAGGGACCCCCCAGGGCACAGAGCCCTGCCTGGCTTTCTCCACACTCTCGCATTTTGGGAAGCATCCCACTGGGTGCTTCAAGCTGGGGTTGGGCTCTCCTTGCCCAGTATTTTCTCTGCTGCCTTAAAACATCTTGAACTTGGCATCTCCCTTCTCTCCCACAGCCACAGCCCCGTTGCAGGACGGGTTCCCCGGGCACCCTGCTGCCCGGCCAGCCCCAGGGATGCTCTGCACCCCTTTTCCTGAGCATCAGCTCCCGTTCAAGCCCATCCCTGCTGAAGGGAGCTGCGTCCCCCTGAGGCCACCCCACCGCGCAGGACCGCGGCACAGCCGGACAGCGGCACAGCCGAATCAATGGCTTCTCCCATGCCGACGGCAATGGGGAGGGACCAGCTCTCCCAGCCGAGTCCCTGTGGATGCCACGTGCCACCCCAGTGGGTGACAACACGGCTGGGACACCGCCACCGCGGCTGGCAGGGGTCACGCATGCCGCCACGTGCCACCACCACGTGCCACCGCCGGTGCAGCCCCTCCGCATGCAAAGGGGTGACGGACGCGGCGGATGTTGCACGGGCGGGCTGGGCCACCCCTGCCCTGCAGGGTCCCGTTGTGCCGGGGGGGCTGTGCCAGCGTGCCATGGCAAGGGATGGGTTTTGGCTGCGTTTTGAGCCACTTTGGAAGTCACTGCCCGTTGTCATGGCTCCTCACCACGGGGGGACCCAGGAGGGAGCGCATCGAGCTCCTTCCATCCCTGGCAGCAAGACAAGGCTTGAGCTGGGCATTGGCAATGGGGCAAGCAGCTTCCCCAGCCCAGGAAAGCCTGTCTACCACTGCCTCCTGCACCCCAAAATCGCATTCCCCTGGGAGGGCAGTACGATGGGGGTGCCCGCCCTGCAGCCCTTCCCTTGGGCAGCCTTTGGCTGGGACAAGCTGGGTGCCACCAAATGGTGACATGTCCCCCCAACCCCACCTTGCCTGAGCGAGCCAGGGTGATGCCGCCAGCACACGGCATCCTCCCAGCACCCCAAGGGCAACTTGTGTGGGCAATAGGTGGGTGGCCATGGGGCCGGCTCTCCCCGAGAGCAGCTGCCCAGCCCTTGTGCGGGCACAGAAGGACCGAGACAGGGTTGGATACCAGCAAGTACTTTATAGAGGGGTCAGGGGGACAGGCAGGGGGAGGAGGATGGCGGGGGCCAAGCACGGCCCCGGCCAGATCCTGGCTCAGTCGGTGGAGCAGTCAGCACAGCACAGCCTCAGCGCGGAGGGATGCCGCCTGCTCCGGCGGCACGTATGGAGAGACCAGCTTAGAGGCGCCTATAGCTGCCGCCAGCCCCCACTGCCAGCACCGCTGCTTTGGCCCCCCAGAGCCTCCGCTCGCTCCCGCACTGTTCCAGCCCCTGGGCTGAGAGTCCCACCAGGGACCCTGCTGTGGGGGGCTCCCCCCAGCATCTTGGGGTGGCTAAAGGGAATGTGAGTGCCATGATTCTGGCTGGTAGCAGCAGCAGAGACCCAGCACTGGCTGCTTGCTTGGCTCCCCCTCCGGCCCCAGAGTCTGCAGGGATGCAGGGTCCTCCTCACTGCCGGAGCATCCCCCCAGCCAACCTTTGGGGGACACAGGGTCCCCCTCGCTGCTGGAGCATCCCCCCCCAGCCAGCCCCAGCCCAACGGCACGGGAAGGGCCCCCCACCACGCCGCCGAGGCTTCCTTGCCCAGCCCACCACATTGCCCAGCATGGACCTGCACACAACCCCAACCACCTGAGATCATTACTCGCAATGGGCTGGGGTCACCCCAAAGAGAGGAGATGCCCCCCCCCCCCAGCCTGGAACCCCACTCCTGGCCCCATACTTGCGGTTCCTCTCCTTCACCACCATGCGGGTCATGCTCTGGATGCACTGCGTGCGGTAGTTCTCGTAGTGGGTTTCCCGCGTCACGTCCTTGAGGTCCTGCATGTGGGTCCTCACCAGCATTGTCCGCAGCTTCACGAAGTCACTGTGGGACGGGTTCTCCACTGCAGGGGAGCCCGAGGTCAGAGGGCCACATCCAGCCCCCCCACATCCCCCCAGATCCCTGGGGCTGAGCAGCATGGAGGTGGTGCATGCGATGTCCCCGTCCCCAAAAGGCCAGTGGGATGCTGGGGACACATCCCAGCGTTACCTTCCACGATGCCCCAGGGGTAGAGGCGCCCACGGACACGCCGGCCTTTGGCCTCCACAACTGTGTTGCTGCCGATGACGGCAAAGGGGATGCTTTCCTGGCAAGAGGATGGTGGGGGTTAGCAGGGCTCAGTCCTGTCCACCGTGGCCCACGTCCCTCCATATGCATCTCCTTGGCCGCATCCAGCACCCATTTGCCAAGATATCCCAGAGCCCCAGCTACAGAAAGCCCCAGGTGGGACAGCAGGCAGTCATGGCATGGGTTTCTCCACCCCAGCCCCATCGCACCAAGCTGTAGGTGGCACCTGTGGGGTCTTGGTGATGCATCCAGGTAGTGCAATATGTACCAACCCCACCACGCTGGGGCTGCCGGAGAGCTCTTGTGGCCCCAACAAGTCCTAAGGGTACCCCAGGATGATGTCCTCCCAGCCATGGGGCTCTGCCCCTCCAAACATGGAGCTGGAGGAGCCAGACCTACCTTCAGTGCCTGGTCCTGCAGCTTGAACTCTTCATCCTCATCCGAGTCACACTCGGGGAACTGGTAGATGCGGATGCCGTAGTGGTCGATCTCCTCCCGGATCTGGAGCAGACAAACCTGCTGAGGGCAGGGCTCTGGCCCTCAGAAAGGGGGTGGGAAGTGCCACACAGCACTGGTGTCCCCCAAGGACCCACAAAAGCCTGTCCCCCCCAGACTAAGCGTCATGGATGCCCTGCCAGACTATTCCAGCCCCCAGCTGACCACCAGGGAGATGTGTCCTTGGTGGCTAGGTGGGCAACGTGGTCCTCTACAGCACTGCGAGCATGGAGGATGCTCCACAGCAAAGTCCAGGCAGGGAATGGAGGCAGCCCCCAGCCAGTGAGGACCCCAGCCCCCAGGGCACCCCCATCCCCAGGGATCTGCTGGGATGGCTCCAGGCTGGGCTGACCTCCCCTTACCTTGTTCTTCATGCGGTGCACCTCGGCAGGGGTCAGGGTGTCAGCCTTGGCCAGCACAGGCACGATGTTCACCCGCTGGTGCAGGGCTCTCATGAACTCCACGTCCAGGGGCCGGAGCCTGTGGAGGAAACCCAGTGAGCACCATCCCACCAAGCCCCTTCCCCAGCAAGCCCCCAGCCTGGCAGTGCAGGCAGGGGCTGCCCGTACCCATGGCCAAAGGGCGAGATGAAGTAGATGCAGCAGTGGACGCGGTTGTCCTGGATGTTTTTCCGGTTGAGGCCACTTTCGTCACGGAAATACTGCTCAAACTGCTGGTCGATGTAGTCAGCCACTGGCTTCCAGCTGTGGGGACAGGGAGGTGACCATCAGAGTTCCCTTCAGGACCCCCGGGCTTTCCCTGGATCCCCAGCTCAACACCTCCCATGGCTCAGCATCCCACCCTTGGAGCTGCTGGCACCCACAGCGGCGCTGCCTGGCCCTGGGGAGACCCCGCTGCCACCCCTCCATGGGACGCACCACTCCGTGTTGTTGACAGCATCACCAAAGCCCGGCGTGTCCACAATGGTCAGGCGCAGCTTGACACCCTTCTCCTCAATGTCCACCACGTGCTTGGTGATCTCCACCGTCTGCGTGATGCGCTCTGCAGTGGCAGGAGACATGAAGATGGAGGGGGATACCCCAGGCGAGGGAGGATGGGGGTGACATGGGGAGATGCTGAAGTCCCCGTGTGTCACCCTGCACCCCGGAGGGCTGAGGTGGCTTTGCAGGATCAGTCCCCACGAGCGCCAGGGTCCAGCACCAAGATGGGATGCTCCATGCCACAGCCTCCCACATCCCGACATGGATGTGCACGCCTCCCTCGGTGGCTGTGCCACCGCCACCCCGTGACAGCCTGGCTCCAGCAGCACGGGGGGCTGCTGGGGCCAGGCATCACTGCGGGAGCATTTGCGGCTCCCTGTACCCCATGGCTCCGGGACTGCGCGTGCCCCTTATACCCCCAGGATCCCTCCATGTCCCTGCATCCCCAAGGATGCTCCCGTTGCATCGTGTGCACACGGCCACACGCGTTTTGGCTTTTGCTCTGAGCAACGGAAACAAATCAAACAACCGCCTCAAAACAAATCAAACAACTGCCTCCAACCCCTGGGGATTTGGGCAAGTTTGGGCGATTTTAGTTTAAAAATTGGCTGCAGCTGAACAGCACTTTGTCCTGGACCCCGACTGCCCGCAGCCTGCCGGATTTGCTGTGGCTCCAGCCGATCCCCAACAAGCTGGGGCTTGTTTTCCCAGCAGGGACAAAGCCCCAGTGAGGGCTCCCCGCGCCGGGCAGAAGGGGTCCCTGTTGCCTTGGAGCAACTCCCAGCGCCGGTGGGCAGCTGGCAACATGCTTCACGTGGCTTTGGAGACCCGGAGGAGCCTGGGTGGGCAGGGAGAAGGGCTGCAGTGCCCTGGGAGTGGCACAGGGCTCTGCCACCCCCCTGGGACACCCAGGACACCCCATCGCTGGGAATGTCCCCCCTCACCTTCAGCGTTCAGCAGCTTGCGGTCTCTGTACATGTCCGTCAGGAAGAGGCTGTTGACCAGGGTGGACTTGCCCAGCCCGGATTCCCCTAGGAAAAGGGCACAAGGGTGAGGGGGGGAAGCTGGTACGCCCTACCATGGATTTTGGGATCCACAGAGGGGTCAGCATCCCCCTGCCAGGCTCAGCCCACCCTGTACCTGCCACCATGAGGGTGAAGTCGAAGCCCTTCTTCACCGACTTCCGATGGACCTGGTTGGGCAGCGTGGCAAAGCCGACATACTCCTTGTCATCCTGCGGGCAGAGGGGATGTGGGACAGGGGATGCCACCAACCCACCCACCCCTCAGCCTGGGAGGCCGCCCCCTTTCCCCCCTCCCAGAGTAGTCCCCCAGGGTTGGAGCACCGCAGGAACCGTGGCTGCCCGAACCCCTTGGGTTTGGAGGGGGGGAGCATCCTCCGCTGTGACTCCTGCAGCCCCTTGCCCTGTGTCCCCCCAGTCCCCGCAGACGCATCCTGCACCTCGGAGGAGTCGTAGGGGTCCAGCTGCCCCCAGGGGCTCCGGGGGCGATTAGGGCTGGGGGGCGGTGGGGCGGTGATGTGCTGCTGGAAATCCAAGGGTCGAGACCGGGAGAAGATCCTGGCATCCCTCTCGTCGGCAGGTTCATCAGGGGGGACCCTGCCCACGCCACAGAGGGGGTGGCCAGGCTCCCGTCGGCTCTCCGGGGGCTCCACCTTCCTGGGGCTGTCGGCCGGTGGGCAATCCCGCAGGAGCTGGGTCAGCTCAGCCTCCTCCGAGTCCTCCTTCAGGAAACGCTTTATCTGGGAACCAAGGGAGGAGGTGACACCAATGGTGGCAGTGCCAGCCCAAGGTGGCATCACCCAACTCAGCATCATGAGCCCCCAGGCCACAGCAGGCAGACACATGCACCCCAAGGATGGCAGGGATGGGAGGAGAGGGGGGACATAGCCACCCCAGGGGACCAGCCACCACCCTGGGGACAGCCATGGGGATGGCAGCAGGGACAGCCATAGTCCCATGCATCCTGGGCGCTTACAGCTTGCGGCATGGGGACGGCAGTCAGCTCCTGGCACTCCGGGGGACAGGGACTGGGACCTTCCCCCTGGGCACCCCGCCGCTCCTCAGGGTCTTCTGGGGTAGCCAGGACCCCCACATACCCTATGGCCTGCTGGGAGGACAGGGAGGGAGCGCCGGGGAGGAGAGAGAAACACCAAGAAGAGATGAAGAGCAGTGGTGGAGGAGCTGGGAGTGGGGCTGGACCCAGGGGGGGAGGCAGATGGTAGGGAGGGGTCTGCCTGCCCACTCGCAGGGTCTCAGCGTGGGTGATGGCACACGGGGCTGCCATCCCTGCAGTCCCAGGGGACCTGACCCACGGCCATCACCAATGCCACGGGCAAAGGGGCTACAAACCCCGTGGCCACGCTCAGGCCGTGTCCTCGCACGCACCGGGAGCCCGACACCCCCTCGCCCTGGCTCTGCCCATGCTGGAGCTGGTGCAGGCAGCAGCCCCAGGCAGAGGTCGGGGGGGCTGGGCGCTGTGGCCCCCGAGCTGGTGGCCCCGTGGGGTGGCGGGGCTGGGATGAGGGACGGGGACGCTGGGACTGGGAAGGCTCCACATCCTGTTTACAAGCGCTGGCGGGAGGAGACGCGTTCCCAAGGGCATGTCCGGCAGCGGCTCCGGCAGGACCAAGCCCTCCTGCCAGCAGGCACCAGGGTCCCTGATGCCCCGCTGCGGGAACTGCCGGGAGACCCCAGCCCCATGGGCAGGGAGACCCGCCCCAAATGGGGGGCACACAGGGTCTGGGGGAACCCCCTACCCTGCAGGCTCCCACCTGGGGGTCAGTGTGCCCCCAGATCAGGGCCTCAAGGCGAGAGCCCTCCATGGGGACACGTGTCCTCCCCCATCCCATGTCCCCGCTCCATCGGCAGGGGGGGCCGGCGCGGCGGCGGGGGGGGCAGGGGCACCTGCCGGCGGCAAGGCAAGATGCACCGAATTAGCGGACTGGAAACAAGGTCACGGCGCTACCGGGGCTGCGTGCTCACACTCCTGCCCCCCGCTCCCCACTAGCCCTGTGGCCACTGGCACGGGGGGACATGGCGCCAGGCTGGGGGGGCAGTGGGTGCCCCCACGGTCAGGGCTGCGGGGTCCCTGCACTCCCCGATCCCCCAATGTGTCGACAGACCACAGCATCCTCTTCCACACCGACCTTGACCTGGGGCTCAGCATCAGCCCCCGCTGCAGCAGAGCCTGGCCAGGGGCCACACAAGGATGGGAGATGCTGCTGCCACCGCCAAGCGCTCCCAGCCCCGCTGCCGCTCCATCCCATGGGGCTCCAGCCCTTCAGGGCTCCCCCTCATCCCCCACCCCAGAGAAGCCGATGGCCTCGGTGATGCTGCGGCATAGAGGGGGTTTGCACAGCATCCCTGGGGGTCCGCACAGCATCCTCGGGGGTCCTGCAGCAAGTGCATCCCCCAGCAAGGCTGTCCCGGGGATGGAGCATCGGCTGTGGCACCTCCCGGCAGCAGCGGGGTACTCTGGGTCCCCTATCCCTGTCTGCCCCCTCTCTCACCCCCCAGGGAGTGACACGGCCCTCATACCTCTTGCCCAGGCTGCAGCTCGGGGCAGGTGGCCATGGCAGAGCCAGCGTTGCCCGTGGCCGGGAGAGGATGCCGAGCGGTACCCCGGCTGCACCGAGGGATGGGGAGCAGCATTAGCATAACTCCACCCTGGGCAGGCACCGTGGCCCAGGCGCCCACGGCACCCAGCAGCCAGGCACAGCCCCTGTTAGTGCTGGGGGGCAGGACCAGTGTCGGGGGCACAGGAGGGGAGAGGGAGCCCCAGGGCAGAGCCAAACCCAGCTGCTGCCCAGCTGTCGAGATGTCAAAGACCAGCAAAGCACCAAGGAGGCGGCAAGGCAGGTTCTGGGGGGCTGCACAACCAGCACCATCATCACCACCAGCAGCACCAGCCCCCCTGGGCTGAGCACACAGCTTGGCTACAGCCCAGGAGGACGTTCAGCCCTCACAGACACCTCCATCCCGGGACAGAAACCTCCTCCATCCCGGGACAGAAACCTCCTCCATCCCGGGACGGAAAAACCCTCCTCCACCATCCCGGTGCACACCAGGTCCTCTCCCACTCCCCATCCTGGAGCACCCCGCAGCCGCCCCAGCAGGGCCCCCCAGCCTCTTCAAGGGGAGAAACCTGGTTTCCCACAAAAGCCTGTTTGAAATCTCAACATTTTTGCACCTGACCATTAAATCTTCCCCACACAGCTCCAAGTCGCAGCTCCGGCTGGGCCTGATGGGTCCAGCTAGGAAGGACCCAACCCTGGGCTGGGAGAAGCCCCACCACAGGGCTTCCTGGCAGGAGCTCCAGTGGTCCTGCTTCAGCTTCCCTGGCTCATCCTTGGGGAGGCAAAGGGTTAAGGGTGCCTCAGGAGGCACTGCGGGTGGCAGCGAGGGCACCCGAGCTGTCACCGCCGGGGGTCACCGGGACGGTGATTCACTTTGATGCATATCGAGATGCATCAGAGCAGCTCAGGCACGGAGCCGGGGTCGAGGGCTGCGTTCGCCAGGAAAATGCTAAAAAGCCCCGAAGCATCGGCTGGGGCCAGACAGGTGCAATGAACCGCGAGCCCGCCGGACGCGGAGAGGGACCTGGATGTGACCGTCCCCAGCATCCCTGGGTCCCAGCCACGCTCCTAACCCCAGCGCCGAATCTTCCCCCCCCAGCTTCGAGGTCACTCAACCGTCCCCACCCGTCCCTGCTCAGCCCAGTCCCAGGGGAGCAGTGCCGCCATGCCTGGCTGACATCGCATCTCCCCGATGACTTTGCAGCCCCTTTCCCCCTGCCATCGCAGGCTGCAGCACCCCACCACCACCCCACCAGCCTGGCCGGGCTCTGCACCCTGTCAGCGGTTCCCTGCACCCCCCAAACCTCGCTGCCCGGTGTAGCACAGCTCTCCTACAACACCCACTGCTTTCCAACCATCCCACCCCGCGCTCCCCGCAGGAGCAGGGATTTACCGCAGCAAGAGCCTGGGGCTGCACCGGTGCCCCCATAAGCGGATTACACGCCCGGCTGCGCACGAGCCGGCACTCGGTGACGGGGCTGTCACCGGCCCAGCAGCTCCAGTGAGGTGGCACTCGCGCTGCCTCGTCCCTGCCTGTCACGCTGCATCACACCTTCCCCCACGGTGACAGCCGGAGGGCCGTGCCAGAGGGGAGAACGGGGACAGCGGGCAAAACCTGAGCTGGGAAAGCCACTGGCTGCCCATTAGCATCCTTCTGCCTGGCACCACATTCCCATGGGATGTGTTTTCCCAGCCTGTTTCTGCAGGGGGAAAAAGGAAACGTCCCGGCAAGGTGCTGTCACCACAGCCAGGCTGGCTGAGGTGTCCCCAGCCCACCTAAAGGTGACATCCAGATGTGCCACCCACGGCACAGCACGCACCACTCCGCTGTGGCACGATGGCTGAGCATCCCAGGCACAAACAACCCGTCTCAAAGGCACGAGCCCCGTGTGGGACAAGGACACAGTGGCCCCCAGCAAAGCCCAGCTCTGCCAGGACCAGCCCGGGGAGCCTGGCTCTTCCCCGGGGCAGCGGGCACCTGGGCTGCGCCTGCTCCAACCTGCCTCCAGATGCATGGGATGCTCCTGCCGGCACGCTGCGATCCGAGTTTCTTACCCCCAGCTCTCCCCTCCCACTCCACTGGCAGTATCCCAGTTGGGAAACTGAGTTTACCAACAGCTTTAACAGGAGCAGGGTGCCGGGCACCCTATGGACCCAGGGGCAGGCAGCGGCACGGGTGCCCAGTCCAGGCAGGGTGCCAGCACCAGGCGGGCGAGCAGACGGGACAAGAGCCTTTCTGACACATCCCTCAGTGCAGCAGCTCCAGCCCCTTTCCTGCACGGAATCCTCCAGCTCGAAGGACCCGCGAGTGCCCACGTGGGGACCCCAGTTTGGGACCACGCACGGTAGCTCCCCGTGAGCCGGGAAGCGACAGCGGGGCCTGTCCGGGCTGGAAACAAGGCGACATCTCAGCACGTGGGGATGGCAGAGAAGATCCAGCCCACTAAGAGCCAGGAGCTGAGGTCGAGAGGAGCCGTTGCTCATCCCGCTTCTCCGGCTGAACTGTCGGCCACTTTGGGGACAGAGGGATGTGGCACCGGTGTCAGGGGGCATCGGCTCCACCTCCGCGGGTCCGTCTGGGCGCGTCCACACCCGCCTCCAGCGCCAGCTCTCCCCACGTGCATGGACAAGGGAGCCCAGCTCCTCCCTGGTACCCAGCTGCCGCTGTTGTCCTCCCCCCCAGATGTTTCCAAGCCTGGATCTGTCCATCCCCAAAGCCACATTTTGGAGCTTTTTGGGAAGGCGCTCGCCGGAGCCGGTTGCGACATGCTCCGCCAGCCGCCCTCCTATCTGGTTACACTGCGTCCAGCTCCGGAGGAATGTGCCGGTCCTGTTCCCACGGCGGCTGCCGGGGCAGGACGGCCGCGATGGTCCCCACCAAGGGCGCCTGTCCAAGTGGCCGCAACCCCACTGCCACGCCAGCCATGGCCATGACCCTCCATCTCCATTCCCACCCTGGGCACGGCGAGTGCCTCGAGGTCCCCGTGGCCCTGACGAGTGGCTCCTGGGGACCTGCCACCACTAAAGAGGGGTGAGGCAGGACGAGCGATGCCGGACAGGCTCCCACCGAGCTGGGAAGGCCGTTGGCGGCTCCGGACCTTGCCGGTAACTGCAGAGACGGCTCCGAAGCGCAGCCGGGCTCCAGGCGTGCGTGACAGTCCCCGCAGGAGGGCCCGGCCAGCCTGGCAGCGCCACCAGGACCGCAGCCCGGGGGACCTGCCAAAAGCACGCCTGGGTGACCGATGCTCAGCTCGAAGCCACCCGAAAGCAGCCTCCCCCCCCCACTGCCCACGCAGGGACACGCCGGGGACAGGCAGGTGCGCCTTTCCGGGAGGCGCCCGCCCCGATGCCATGGTGAGGGGCGGCGAGCAGG